AATATATCAGTCATTATCACACAGGCTATCAGTTTAAAATACAGAGAACAGAAACGCCAAGATGAAGTGATGTGTGTATGGTGCTACTGTTCCCATTAGTTTGAATTCATTACTTTCTGTCAGCAAATCTCTGACCTACAGTAAAATGTCTTAAATCACTGTAGGGTAGAATCGAGCCGCTGGGTCACAGATGGACTCATTCCTTTGGAAAGGGTTGTTACTCTACTTTAGAGTTAAAAATACACAACCAGGTTAAGCACTTCTATGCTTTGCATACATTAATTCATTTATTCTTCCCAAAGCACTGCTTTGCAAGGGAGGCACTGAGGTTCAATAACCTGACAAGATCACACAGCTGATGCACCGTGAGGCTGAGATTCAAAACGAACCATCTGGGCCTGGAGTGCTGTATCTGAATCCTATTTGATTCTGTTCTTGAGCCTGGTAGGCCGAGCAGTGAGGAAGCCTTTTATTTTCCCCCTAGGGCTTTGCTAATCATGACAGGAAAGAGTTCCAGGTAAGAGTGGGGGGTAGCTTGGTTCCTATCCCACTCTGCACAGCTGGGTTCCCACAGGTGTGATAAAATAAAAGCGAGTCTAGCGTTCAGTTCTACTTTGAAAAAGAAAAAGACAACTCTCTGCTCAAGTGGTTGTGTAACACAAGTAGCCAAAATAAACGTAAAGCTGTAATTTGATGCTTATTCAAAAGTCCATTGCCATAGGATCTAGAGGATTCCTTATCTCACGAGGAGTCACTGAACAGGCCAGTCCGTCTGGCCCAGTTTACCCATGGCTTGCACTGGTGAGCAGGGCACTTCCCAGGTGTGGCTATATCTGCTCATCTGCTGTTCGTCTTCCTGCAAGGCCAGTGTCTTCATAACCTCTTAATGTGAATGTGTTTCCAGTGAGCGGTGCAAGAGGCCTCAGTTCCCTTAATGCTGTCAGCTCCAAAGGCATTAGAATCTGAAAAGAAGCCAGTAAAATTAAACTGCTGCAAGAAGTGCTGATTTAAGTTAAATCTATGCACTCCTTTTGGAAATCAGAATAATTCTTCTCCACTGCTTTGCCTTAACAAGAGCCCCACCTCTTCGGATAAGTACCTTGACATCCTTTATGAAGTACAATTTTAATTCACTTTTCTTCAGCAACTAAGACTTTATAGCCTACGTCTGCTAGTGAGTTGGGAGTTATAAAACTTCTGTCTACACCTGAAGCTGTGTGCTGAAAAAAGCCGGCCTTTCTTTCAGAACATTCATCAATTAAAAAAAACATTTAAATTGAAAACATGTTTTAAAACCTATCAGTCTCCCACAGGGTTATTTTTTAAAGTGATACAGGGAGAAAAAGAGCATCCCGTTCTCAAAGGACAGAGTCTTTCCTGTCTGTTCATAAAGGTTAGGATAATGTTGAAGAAAAGGCTGGAGCTTTACACTCCATTCGGCCTGGGTTTGAATCTTGCCCATTACTAAGGTCTTGAGCCTCGTCTGTTAAGGGGATTTACACTGCTGTCACTGTCTGTGGGCAAAGAGACCGGTTACATTTAGCCGCGTGAGTAAAGGTGTAGCCACTTGATTTGGAGACCTTTATGTGCGAATACTCGACTGTTTCTGCCCCGTGATTTGGAAAAAGAGCAAATGGTAACCAGTAGTTACTGTAAACCCATTTAGAGGCTGGGAAAAGGCTGGTAGGATACAGGCGTGTGGGGGAAAGAGCTGGATAGATGATTTTCATTCTTGGCTTTGTTGCTCATTAACTGAGTAAAACTCAGCAAGTAATTTCGTTTCTCTGAGGCTTGTTTTCCCTTCATGCAAAATGAAAACAGTGCTATCAGCTTTCCTAGCTCTCAGAACTGTTGTTAAGTCAGATGCAACGATGAGATTGTTTTGTAAACCACAGAGCGAACTGGCTGCAGTACAGGTGGCTTGCGGGTAGGGCCTGATTGCAGGGCCTGGATGATGTCCACTCTACCCCTGGGACAGACCCAGGTCCAAACACCCGGGTCTCGAAGTGTGCATCTTTGGATACAACTAAGATGACTGCGTTTCTGCAGAGACTGTTGATGGAAAGCAAGACATGAGATATGTACTTTATTTGGGAGAAATGTTTTCATAAGTTTTTAAAGGCCTGTATTTTGCATAGCTCGGCAGTTTCAGTTACATGAGCAACTAGAGAAAGATAAAACTTGAGGTAGGCGTTATTATGAGGAACCATCGAAGTGGTACTACAGAAATAAAAGCAGGAAGCCAGACATGGAGGGATGTTTTCAGTTTGGAACAGGATTTCCACCAACCACTATTAAGGCTTAACATTTTAAGGTTTAACATTTTCAGAAGAATAATTAGCCATTGTACGATAGTTAAAACATCCAGGCACTGATTTGCAGGCCACTTGGGCCTCCTCTGGCCCAACCTTGTCTAGTGTTTTGAGGAAGGAATCCCTATCTTTTCCATGTGTGTGAAAGGCCAGGAGTCTCTGGGGAAGACCTCTTCTTTCCCAAACTTGTGTGGTGATAAATGTGCATTGGGATCCGGTTCAGCTGGGAATTCCTTTGAAATTCCCATTTCTCTTGTGCCCACCGTGAAGAGATAGGTCCTGGCCACACTTGAGTATGAAAACTCCTGAGCCTGGCTGTGCCTTGAGAGTCCTGTTCTTCTTGAAAAAGAATTTTACCAAAAAAAAAAAAAAAAAAAAAAAAAGAAGGCTGCGTTTTTCACTCGGGATAAGAATATCCCTCCCAAAGCAGTGAGGGCTCTACCAGAGTAACAGGATCCATATGTTGAAACTGGCAACTAATGTTCAGCATATGGGCAGTGAACTTTCCAGGCAGAAACACGCCTCTGATTCCCAAAAGAATGTCCTGGAAACTCCAGAAAAGACCCTTACTCAGGTGAGAGATGGTGCAGGCACCGCCTGGGCTTCATAGGCCCTTCGTTCCTGGGGGGTTTGAGCCCCACAGGGGTGTGCGGCTCCTCTGTGAAGCCCCAGGCTCCTCCAACACAGCACAGGGCCTCCCTGACTCTGGGTTTGCTCTGCTGCCTAAGGAATAGTCGTGCTGAAGGCTGCTGCACAGATTGTTTCACTGAACAGGGACATCCCACCTCCGACAGAGCCAGTACCGCACTGCTCGAGCACCCTTAACTGGAGCCAGCAGGCCTCGGCTGTAACTAGAAATGTCTGTAGGAAGGTTGGCTTGTGCCCCTGCATCTGCAAAGTAAGGAGGTAATAGGTGAGATCTCTGGGAGCTTGCAGGGTAGAACTGAGGGGCACCAGAATCCATCTGGAGGGGAAGGATGGGGAGAGCGGCACATCCCATCTCCCTGGCACCTGGGGAGATGGCACAGCTGGTATTCCAGTGCAGCCCTGGTGCCACAGCTAAGAACTCAGTGCTGAGCCCAAGTGACTTGTCAGCGGCCGAGTAAAGACAGGACTCTTGTTCCAGCCCAGTGTTTGGAAGAGTCTGAGCTCCCCTCTTTCTCCCACTCGGAGAGCCCAGTGACCTCCTCCAGACTCCACCCTGTGCCCGTTTCTTACCCCTACCCTCACCACTGCCCTTTTCGGTTTCTGGCATCAGGGCACTATCCATTTCTCTCTCTCTCTCTCTCTCTCTCTCTCCAGCTTCTGTGGGGGCTTCTGTGACCTGCTTTGCCTGTTGTAGGATGGTTAGGAAGGCTGCACCCCCAGCAGTCTGGTGCCCCCGGTGCACTGCCTTCTCAGCCCAAGCGTGCCCTTTAATCTCTGTATTCTGCTGAGCACAACTGTGGTCTCTTCATCAAATGCACACAAACTCAGAGCGGCAGCACGGCCCAGCCTGCAAGCCGGTCACCATGGCAACCAGCTTTCCTTCCATTCTGCTGTGAAAAGAAAATGGCTGATGGAAGGGAGGGCTCACTGAGTCTCTGTGACCCAGCCTGGTTCGCCCAGGCCCCTCCTTCCTCTTGGCTTTGAGGCGCTCCATGCATGGAACCAAATACCTTAGCCTTCGGCTTTCACATCTGCTTTCCTTAAGAGGAGCAGAGACAGAAGGAGGTTGAATTCAAATGAATAAAGCATTTTTTTCCTATCCTAAAACTGTATTGTCAGGAAGGAGGAACAGTTATCTGCTTGGAGCAGATAAGCGAGGAGCAGACTGAAGACAAGAATCGGTGAGATCAGGTGCAGTGTGTTTTCTTGTCCGTGCACCAGGACGAGTGAACATATGGTTACTCAAATAAACATTCAGAGAAAGCAGCCAGGAATATGGGGTTCCACAGGGCACAGACTCTGGTTTCAGGAGAATATCTGACTAATTGGGATGGTGATTTTTGATGTTCTTTCTTGTTACGTAAATAGGCATGTCTGTCCCATTATCATGAGGTGAAGCAAAAACTTGACTGCATCCTCCACTTCAAAATCAGTTTGAATGTTCGTGCTGAATCCTTCTCCACGTGATAAAGCTCGGTGGTATGGAGGAATTCACAGGAGACTCTTGGGCATAGATCTGAAGTGACTTCCTGATTTGAACAAAATTAAGGGAATACGTCAGAGTGACCACCCAAAGGGACTGTTTGGGCTGTTTCTGTGAATCCAGAGTGTGGCTATTTGGAACAGAACCACAAACCTTTTCAAGAATCAGAGATGCTTAGCTTAGAGGTCACCCCGAAAGTTCCAACCTGAATGGGCTGTGCCATGTCTATACTGGTTATGGCATAAGATACTTTGGTGGATGCTGGACATGGCAGCACACGCCTGTAATCCCAGCACTTGGAAGGCTGAGGCAGGAGGATCTCTGAGCTTGAGGCCAGCCTAAGCTACAAAGTGAGCTCAAGGCTAGCCTGAACTGCAAAGTGAGACTCCGTCTCCAAAAGACAAAAATAAATACTTTGGTGATGACTAGTTCTCAAAATCCAAACAACCTCCACCTTTGATTCTTCTTTAAAGTGAGCTGGGCATCCTGGTTTGAATAAAAGCAGTGGGTTTCATCTCAGACCTTTGAATGCATCTTTGAATTGGACTCTTTTTCAGTTTCTCTGCAGGTGGATATTGTTCCCAGCCAAGGAGAAATCAGCGTTGGAGAGTCCAAATTCTTCTTATGCCAAGGCAAGTCCCTTTGTCCCACTGCCTCAAAAGTCCATCAGGCAGAGCAGAGAGAGGCCATGAGTACAAAGTGACAGCTTCTAGAATTCTGGGCATTGCTGTACTCCAAGGCCAGTAGTGTGACCATTCAGGGCAGCTCTCAGACCCTCTTCCTTGGTCTCCGATCTGCCCTATGTAGTGACATGTGCCACCTACACTTCTGCCTCACCATGAAAGGAGTGTTTTTTTAGGAAAATCGTCACAACTGCAGGCAGTGTATCATCTCAGGTCTCCTGCACTGTCTACACCCACGGGTCAGTAAAATGCACTGGGAAATAGTGTGGCTTAGAAATAGTGCTTTGGTGGACCACTTTAAAGTTCATTTCTTAGAATCTCCTAGACCTAGAAAATCTAAAATTGTCTGGACGAAAAGTGAATGGTGGGATCTCTCTGGTTGTAAGGACCTGGATTTTCCAGGTCTGGCATGAAAGTAAATATCCCACGGCCCCTGACAGGTCTCTAGGATAAGTCAGACCTGGCATCTATGTTGTCCATTTAGGAAAATACTCCATTTTCACAGCTGCAATTATTATTAGGAGATGTCCTGGGAAAGAAGAGACATCCGATTAGGTCTTCAGTTCCCTGTGTGATAGGACTAGGATTCACAACATGGCAGAACCTGGAAAGAGCTGAGCTGGGTGTAAACCGTGACATTATCAAGCAGCTTTTGGCAGAGAAGGGCCTTTAAGCGCTATCATGATTTGCATCAGAGGAGGTGGCTGTGGCCAATGGCTGCGTTAGCTCCAGCTTTGGCTTCATTACAGCGATTTCAATGATCTGGAGATACAGCCGTGGAGCCTGCATCACATCTTGCAAATAGCGATATTTATTGAAAACATGACGGGTGCTGAAAGGAAGTCTGCTTCATTTCCATACTGAGCATCTGCACAGAGCTGGGTGTTACGGGCCGGGAAGGATGCTGTGTGGAGGCAGGGTGGGATCTCAGAGCCCTCCACCCTGCTGCAGCCCAAGGACTACACAGCAGCAGCAGAAGCCTGCCCCGCCTAGGTGCCCAGGAGAAGGAGGCATGGGTGGTGCTGGCTACCTTCTTTGCAGTTTGTAGTGAGATGAATTTGTTTGTTGGAGACAGCTGTGCAGAGTGGAAGTCCTGGCAGTTTAGGCAGGTAGAGGCTGAGCTCAAAGTGGTTAGAATCTGCATTCCTAGACTAGCCGTGCCTTTTGTCTCCAGCTCAAGAGATCATTATCCACCTCCACTAAAATAAGCTGGTCTGGGCACTGACCCACTAGGTCATTGAGTAGAGATCCTAAAACACACTAATTGCCTTTATGTCCCGTTCTCTGAAGCGTGTTGAGTTCCTAGCTCAGTTACCAGCACACAGTGGGTCCTTAACAAATTTCTCTCGCTAAGGGAAATGAGCTCAAGTGGTTGAGTTCTTTGCAAATACTCTAGAAGATATTATGTACGTAATAATTAAACACAGGCCAGAGGGCGGCTGTGTAACATCCTAATGTAGATGGTTCAGCCTCAGTTGACTGGTTGTTCAGTAGTGCTTACTGAGTAGCTTCTGTCACTCTGTAAGGGACTTTGTCTTTTCACTTTCAGTGGTCTGAAAGTAATCTCTTCATCTTTAGTAGCAGGAGATGCCAAAGACAAGGACATCTCCTGGTTCTCCCCCAACGGAGAAAAGCTCAGCCCAAACCAGCAGCGAATTTCAGTGGTGTGGAACGACGACTCCTCCTCCACACTCACAATCTACAATGCTGACATCGATGATGCTGGCATTTACAAGTGTGTGGTCACTGGCGAAGACGGCAGTGAGTCGGAGGCCACCGTCAACGTGAAGATCTTCCGTAAGTGACTCTCTCTGCTTATTCTCTGTCCTCTCCTTGATCAGCCAGACACACAGGTGGGTAGTAGAAAAGGTGAGGTGGCATTCAAGGGGTTAGTGGGGTTCTGTGGCTTGCTTTTTCTCTCCCTCTCAAGTGTTCTGACCTCACTCAGAGTTCTAGTGTAGAGCTCTCAGATGGTCTTTGGCCAAGACAGAATGCGCAGTCTTGATTCCTACCCGGTCCCAGCTCTTCCCAGCTGGCCTTCATTCTTTAAATTCAAAATACCCAGTTTCCAGAGGGCTGCTAGGAGTCCTTCTTTACCTTCCCCAAGTGCTGACGGACAGGTGCAGAATGCAAGCTTCTTATGTTACTTCCCCCACTGGTAATGGAATCCAAACACCTTGTGGGATGGGAATGATTATTTGAACACTGTGTGACATTCACAGCAGGTAGTTCTATTTCTGCTGAAATCCCACGTGGAGGTGGCATCTCATTACCTTATTATTTTCTGTCTGGTCTGTTCTGTTGGCCGCAGTCATGGTGGGTGACAGCTAATGGAACAGTATTGATTGCCACAGTATGTATTGCCACTATGCATGCTCTCCTTCTGTTCTTCAGAATTCTCTGCTGTAGGAAAGGTGGGGTGGACTTTGGGTAGGGACAGAGTGAGCGAACAAGAAAGGACAATGACTTCTAGCATTGTTAGAAGGCAGGCAGAAAAGGCACGTGCCTGTAGGTTGTGCCCCATTCACATCACTGCACATGACAAGGGACCATTGGAGAAGAAACTCCCTTTCCTATACTGACTCTTTTTGGCACAAAGTGTGATGAATTTGGCATTCAGTGTTGCGGAACACTGATGACATATTTCAGTGCTTGTCCTATTTCACCTGGTGTCTTTGACTAAGTGTTCAGGGGTATCCCCCTTATACAACTGTATATGTAGATGGAGGTTTACCTACAACTCAGGTCCAGGCAGCACGGCTCTAGCAAAAAGTGATCTTGTGGGGGAAACTTGCTGTTTGCCTCATGCTTCTCCTGCTCCTTTTCCAGAAAAGCTCATGTTCAAGAATGCACCAACCCCGCAGGAGTTCAAGGAGGGGGAAGATGCCGTGATTGTATGTGACGTGGTCAGCTCTCTCCCCCCAACCATCATCTGGAAGCACAAAGGACGCGATGTCATCCTGAAAAAAGATGGTGAGGACCACATTTCTTGGTCAGTGCCTTTCCCCAGGAGCTATCAAGTTCCCTAGGTTTCCACCTCTCCCAGTCCCCGAAGCACTCCAGTCCCAAGTCCGAATTCAGATTCAGGTACCCAGAATCCACATGCAGTTTCCAGCTCCTAAGCGGAGATGCGTGTATATATTCGTATATTCGATTAAGACACCTTATCTTCTCTCCAAAACAAAAGAGAGATTTCCGGTGGACTGTGCTCTTGGCTATATTTCAGAGCCAGGGACAGACACATTTTCCTATTGCACGCAAAAGCTTCACCCCATAAGGCTAAAATTAGGAAAGAGGAAAGAGGCTCAGCTACATGCCTGCAGACTCCAGAGTTCTCTGACTGACCCTTGGATGAAACTGCCTCTTGTCTCTTCTAGTCCGATTCATAGTCCTGTCCAACAACTACCTGCAGATCCGAGGCATCAAGAAAACAGATGAGGGCACTTACCGCTGTGAGGGCAGAATCCTGGCACGGGGGGAGATCAACTTCAAGGATATTCAGGTTGTTGTGAATGGTGAGGAGATCTGTTCTTCCTGTTCTCTCCTTTGCTACAGCCTCGAGTGCCCCGTCATTTTCTTTAACTTCTTTGGTCTAGATAACAAACTCTGTCTTGATTTGTACCTACATTGCAGCCGAACCCTCTCCCCATCATAACCTTTGGACAGATTTTTCTTATTGTGTTTTTCCATTTTTAATATGCTTGGTTTTCAGGTCTTTCCTCAACTCTGAGGGTTTTTAGTGCAGTTATTAAATGTCCTTCATTATCTTGAAGCCCTAGAAATGTTCACCATCCCTACTAATAAGTTTTTACTCATCCTCATTGTCCTGGATGTTGGTTCAATATGCAGGGAAAATATTACAATCAATTCAGGTCTCAGAATAGTCAGAATCATGATCCATACCCTTATTAATCTTAATTTGCGGTGTCAAATAAACACCCATAGAATCGATCTGACATTTACAAGATGTTTACAGGAAATTTTAATTCAGTACTTAGAAAATAAGTAAATGATGTTTGAATTGTTTTGGTTGTTGGTATGTATTTTGCCAAACTCTTTTCCCTTTCATTCCTTTGGTAAAAACAGTTTGTGCACAAGGTTGTTTACGATGATTCCACAGAAATGTCATTCTGATGAGCTGGCCCATTTCAAAATGGTATTAAGCTTAAACCATCAGGCATAATAATCTCCAGATTTCTCCAGTATTGAGAGCCCCCTTTCACCATCAAGTTTGACCAACACTGCTAATTATTTAGTGCATATTAATTGAGAAGATATATCATGACAAATAGCTACTACAAATTGACTACCATTTTAACATGAATAAAATGTAACACTGTGGCTTCTAAACTCTTGAAAAACAATAATGCATGTTTATGGGAAAATTGTTTCTGCAGCTTACATTAATTATTTACTGCACAAATGAGTTTAGGTCCATTCCACCATCTCTCCAGCCATCCATGAGCCATGACCCCTCCATGAAATTCCCTGACATGGGGGCCTTCGAAGTGTCTCTTCTCCAGGTTGTTGTACTCTTCCAGGTTTTCACAGTGACTCTTGACATCTCTGTTTCCTTCAGTGCCACCCACTGTCCAGGCCAGGCAGAGCATTGTGAATGCCACCGCCAACCTGGGCCAGTCTGTCACCCTGGTGTGCGATGCAGAAGGCTTCCCAGAACCCACCATGAGCTGGACAAAGTAAGAAACTGGTTGGTGCCTTGTATCATGGGCTAGAGAAGAAGGGGACATCTAAGGGCTTTCTCCACACTGGCATTTCAGTGGCGTGGCTATGAGCTTCTTGCAACTATCAACTCCATGTGAAGAATGAATTCTTTTCTCTAAGGTTCCTTTGCCTTATGCATTGGATTATTCTTTCATTTTCAGTCTTGTGGTAACAGGTCCAGAAGATGTGACCTGGGGGACCTAAACCTTGTGAGTGCAGTTTACAGCCTGGACAGAGTCAGAGGAGTGGGTAGAGAAATTAAAGGTATATGCAGAAGTACAACTTGGTGTCTTCCCTTGTTGTGAAGACTAAGCATTCCATTGGCTCAGTCTGCGTTTTGTAGAAATCGATTACAACTAAGCATTTCAACTCTGGGATCAAAATCAGTCTTTTGTATTTCTGCACCCTGCAGAGATGGAGAACCAATCGAGAATGAGGAAGACGATGAGAAATACATCTTCAGCGATGACAGTTCTGAGCTGACCATCAGGAAAGTGGACAAGAATGACGAGGCCGAGTATGTCTGCATTGCTGAGAACAAGGCTGGCGAGCAGGACGCCTCCATCCACCTCAAGGTCTTTGGTAAGGGCAGCATGGGTCCTGTTACCCTACACACTGAGTCCATCAGACGGACTGTCCACTCTGCCTGGAATACATCCCAAAGCAACCATTTCTTACCAGCTCCACCGTGTAATCCCCAATCCAAACCACCTCCAGCTCACCTCCCCGATGAACGTTTCCTAGTTGGTCTCCCTACCCCCTCCGCCCGTGGTCCTCTTCAGTGCCTTCTATTCCCATAGCTAGAATGCTCCAAAGCCCACCACTTCTACAAAATCATGTTGCAACCAGAGTAAAATCCAGGCCTCCTGCCATGGCCCAAAGATGTGCTGGCTGCTGCCTCTCTCTCCAGGCCCATCTTCCCTTCCCTTTGGTCCACGCTGGACACTCTCCAACCATACACACTTCTCTGGGTTCCTTGAACACACCAGGCTTGTTCCCTGTCTCGGGGACATTGCCCTTAATGATCTTTTGCTTAGAATATCGATCCTTGAGGTCGGCTCTGAGCTGCCTTCTTATTGGCATTCAGGCATCAACACTAGCTCTCCGGCACGCATCCTGCCTTTACTGCCCTGGATGCCACAGCTCCCCACCATCATTCTTAACCCCACCCCACCTCTGTGAACCCCTTCAGTATTCTTCCTGTGTCTTCTTCCTGCTCTTACCAGGACTTGAATTAATTGCATTAACATACATGCTTGGGGGATTATTTCCTGGGTTCACTACCAGGTAGATTTCAGGGTGTCAGAATCCTGGCTCACACACTGCTTTCTTCCTGGCACCTCGAACAGCACCAGACTCATAAAAGGGCCTTGGTAAACATCAGTGACTGACCAACTGGCTGCCACAACTTTTTGGCTTCCTGCTGTGTGAAACTGTCATAGTCATGAAGAGTCCCTGCATCACCACGCACTGTGTCATCATAACCTCAGCCAGCTAAACTTCCATTCATTGCCAAATTGAAGTCATTTTGACCTGACCCTAAAAAAAGAATTTGTTGCAGAGAACTGTTTACCCTCATGACTCTCAACTCTCTCTCTGCTTATCTGTTTGAAAACCACAGATAAGCTGGCGCACTTGCGATGGGACAGTTGATGTACAGATGTCTGAGGGCAGCTCTGGGCACGCCCCTCCCAGATAGTCAGACTGTGCACCTGGGAACCATCCGTGGGACCCTCTCTTTTAGCCTGATCAGGACTGTGTGGAAACATGCATTTGAAAATCAAGTGTGTGTATGCAAATGGCCCTGCTAATCACAGCTGAATCTTATTTATTCCTGATGACAACTGGATTCAGAAATAGGCTATTAGTTTGAGACTGGGTGTACTTGAGAATGAAAGCTAAACTTCATTAGAAACCTCCTTGGTAGACTTCACACTAATCTCCCCCAATCACTCTGGGTAAGTTCTTCCATATTGTAGAAAAGGACAGATTAATTCAGTGATTCTTTTCTTCCATTTAATAAATATTTATCACTAGTGATACAGGACAGAGGTGCTACAGAGATGAGTAGATATTTTTAAATCTCTCTTTTTTGGTATTTTTATTAGTACATGTTTGCAGTAAGAAATATATTCACCGTGGAGAGTTGGTACACATGATTCACATCTTAACCCTTTCTACTTCCCCTTCATCTTTCTATGTGTAACTCTCCTGCATCCCTAGATGCCCTTTTACCCTGAGAAGCAGAAGAATATAAACCTGTATCTAAGAATTCTAATAATAGTAGATGATATCAGTCAAGGACATTTAGGAGCCTACTGTGGACCCAGGCACTGCTAAGCTAACAAAGATGAGTAATGTGGACTCTGACCTCAGCAGAGGCTCACAGACTAGAGTAAATGCCCACTACAGAAATTTTAAATGACAACTCTGCACAGTGACTTCATGGTAACTGTTTACAGTGTTTTGTAAGAAGAGACCTCTGTCCCGGGTGACATAGGTTAGACAAGTCACGAAAACAATGTGCGGTTTTGTAAGTAGGGATTAAAGATGAGGAGAGACTGGACAGGTGTTTCAGGCAGGAGGCGCACAGGGCAGAGGTAGGAAGAGCACCTGCAGTGTTGCATGTGAGCTGCGTGTGCACAGGACAACCTGTTTGGCTCACAGATTTGTCCCCAACACCTGGGACAGGAGACATTAGCATCTGAATACTGTAAATGAAGGACTGGCCTTTGTCCCTTGTGAATCAAACTGTAACTCACACAGCAAGGAGACTGTGTTATCATCACTTGCTCTAAGACATTCTTTAAGGCATTAACCCCATACGGTATAATAATACAAACTGGCGCTTACACTGTGCCAAGCATTGTACAGTAGTATCTGTAAATCAGCTGTTTTAATCTTCATCACAATCCTATAGATTTAATTATGATCCCCATTTTACTAATGAGTGCAGAAATTAGGTGCCTCTCCCAAGAAGCCAGGATTCACACTGAGGCAGTTGGCTTCCGAGTCCATTCCCTGAGCTCACAGTGGGGATTACCATCCTGGTGGGCTGCATCTTTCACACACCGTATCTGAGCTGCTAGGCAGTAGCTGGGGACGTAGGAACCAGTGCACCGTCAGTTTGCTAGCATGCTCCTTGTAGCCTCCCTGTGCAGCATCCTCGGCTCTAAGGTGGCTGCGTCAGGCAGGAAGAGCAGGAGGTGAGGAACGTGTGGGCCCAGCGTAGAGTGACCAGAACAGTGAAGGTCTGCAGTCTGCAGAATGAACAGGGAGAGCAGGACGGGAAGCGGGCGACACAGGACTTGCCCTCCCGTCCTCCATCTTCAGTGCAGACAGCCTTCTGCATCACGCACAGGCACGTGTGCTCACACAGCACTGGAGCAGTGTACACGCAGAGCAACCAGAGGAGAAGTAGCTGGACTCCTGGTGAGCGGGTAAGGGAATTGGAGATTTGTATGGACTGCGCTGAATCCAGAGTGAGAATCCCCTGTCGCATTCCCAGGAGAGTTCCTCCAACCCTTTGACATAACTTGCCTTGCAAACCTTCTTTCCATGATCTTTTTTCCTCCTTTCTCTTCTCTTTCCCTCCCCTGCTGGTGGCGGAGACTGAAATAGGGCCACGCCTTGAGATGAGGGGAGGCCAGCTGTGGAGCGTCTTTGGGGACAAGTAGGCAGGTTCCTGAACATCAGCAGAATCTAGTGTGTTGGAAGAGGAAAGAGACCCCCGTAGTTTAGAGAGTAAGGAAACCTCGCCACCCTTGAGGCTTCAGGAGGGGATGGCAATCAGTATGTAAAAGACATAATGAGGGGCTACAGCAATCCTGCCTAGTGCCAGCAATCTTTCCTAAGGACTCATTGTAGCATGTATTGCCCTAGTTACCAGCTAGAAAGCTCCTTCACTAAGTAATTGCATTGTACTTCCCTTTAAAATTGGCAGTGAATTTCCATTGCTCATCTCCCCATGGGCCTTTCTGAAGTATTTTTGTCTCTACAGATTATTACGCTCGTGCTAATTCTCTTGAGATCTCATACTGCCATGGGCTGAGGAAAGATTGCCGGTGGGTGGAAGCCTAGCTTAGCTGGCCCCTTGGAGTAAAGCAACCCTTGCTGGTGACACAGAGGATCAGCCAGCCCCGGAGGAAGATGGACTTGGTCATGTCTTCCACTAGTCAACTTCTCTGTTCAGTCAAACAGGGGGCCCCTCCCTCTCCTTGTGCCGGGTCACCAGTTCCTGGACAAGGCTGGCTCTTGGTGGCAGACTGCAGAGCAGTGGACATGCTTGGAAACTGGCCGGGTGGCAGTATGTGCAGAAGTTCTAGATAAGAAATGCAGTGAGAAGTTTGGAGGCACAGCAGCTCATGAAGCAGGTGAACAACAGAGAGAACAGAAGCCAAGGGCCCACAGCAGAGGCCACTAAAGACGGAGCAAGAACCCATTAGAAGATAAATCCGAGGAGAGACCTCTCGGTGCTGGAATGCAGGGGGAGGAAACCTTGTGTACACAGCGGGACCCTGCACCTGCCTCTGCTTGTCCCCGTGTCCCAGCATAATTATTTAGAGCACACTCATCTTTCTCTAGCGATATTCTACACTAGATCCTAGCCAAAAGGTTAGTTAATGTGAACGATAATGGTGGTTCTGGAGTGAGAAAGATTAAGTCATCAGTGAGAAGCCTGCCTTTTTCCAAAAGCACAAAATTAGCCGTTGTTAATAATGTTTTTGGTCATAGTTCACCTTTTCCTAAGGACTTGTACAGTGCACCCTTTATAGCCATCTGGGAAATGGAGCCACTAAGTCCAAATGTTAAGAGGTCACCTGACCCTTGTCTCTCCTCAGTTTACCATTTGCTGCCAGAGGAAGTGCTTTGGGTCAGGAAAGGGTCAGCAAACACCGTCTGCATCTCAAAATTTAAGTTTCAAGTGGTCAGAAATTCAAGCATTCTGCGATTGTCTCCAGATCTCAAACAACTGTTCAGCTTAGTGAAGAGCTGTATTTTGTTTCATTGTTACTGTTACCTTTTATCCTGTGATTTTGAGAACACAGATTCAACTTTTATTCTTATCTTTTTTTTTTCTTGTACCAGGGATTGAACTCATGACCACGCGCTTGCCAGGCAGGCGCTTATGCCGCTGAGCTAAATCCCCAGCCCTTTTTACTGTTATCTACCTCTCTATTTTTTATATTTATTTTACATTATCTTTATTTTATTTTGCCTTCAAATTTCCTATTCAACAGGATTCAGCACTTCCTCCATCCAATACAAGTTATAACCTGAAAAGCTGCATGTATCAAGTTAGATATAAAGCCTTCCTCTAGGAAAACTGCATCCACATGGATTCGCCAACTCAGACTTGGGCTCCCTTGGCCACAGTGGGTCGGGTTGTGTGTATGTGCCCACCATGAAAAAAGAATTCCCTGAGTGGGCTGTTAGTGCTGTTAAGTTTAGGAAAATATTTAAAATATGTAGGTGATTTCAGATAGAAGCAGATATATGCTGTCAAAAATATAACACTATCATTTTTTTCTTTTTATTACAACAGCATCAAAGACCTCGACAGGGAAGCTGCATGTACAGGAAGTAGTTGATTAGCTTACTGGAGGCTAGCATATGAATTTGCATGTAAAGGAAATACAGTTATTTCAAAAATTATCCATGCTTCTGGGTTTTGTTGTTGGTATCTCTCCAACCTGGCCTTTTTTCCCCTCTATTAGTGAAATAAGTTACATTTGTGCAATGTTATCCTTTCTAAGGAAGCTTCAGCAGTTTCAGAGTATAATTGTTTTAAATTGGGAAAATTCAATTTTCTCTAATGTTTAACACTCAACTCAGCTTTGGAACGCTTGTGTTTCTTGCATTACCCAAAACATTTGGAAAATGAACTCATCTCAACTCCTCTTCTTCCCATTCTCGGCCCACCCCGGACCCCCCATCCAGTGAGTCGCCTGATTTCCTCGCTTGAGTTAATGCTAACACTGTATCTCTAGCCATTAAGGATGTGAACCGTTTGGGCTCCTGTGTTATTTCTTCTTCCCATCCCCATTTGCCCTCTCTCATTTGCACATTCCCTGACCTCTCTTTCCTCTTCCCACTTATTTCAAAGGTGCCCTTTGCTGTGTTCCCTCCAAAACTACCATCCAGGCTAATCCACCATCAGTGTTAGTCCACATCTGGGTCATTGCCAGAGTTTCCAAATTCATCTCCCTACCTCAAGGTTTTTTCCATTGTGAATTATCTTACATGTTTCCTAGACTGACCTTCTTAAAATACACCTGGTTACTCTGCTGCTCTGATTAAACACCATCCGTCCATGGGCCTCCGTCAGCCAATGATAAAATTCCCACCATGCTACGCTGCTGTCTTCCTGACCTTCTTTACACGACATTGCTTCTTTGCTTTTATTAGCTAAGAATGATTCTGTCCCCACCAGAGTTGCATTTGCTGAAACTTTGATGACCTTGCCCCAAAGCTCCCTCCTTGAGAAGGCTCAGACCAAGGCAGCACACTCCCTCTGTGCCGTGCCTCTCACATCCTTTGCCCTTACACTCTTACTCTGTAGATATGTTTTTGCTACTGTGGTTTCTGGATTACTTAGGCCTATTTCACTGAAACTCCTTAGGATCAATCCTGGGTCTCCTGCAACACCTAAATTAGGGCCTTGCACTTAAGGAATAGATAACCTTTGCTGAATGGGTATACGGCATCACCTAAACCCAGAAAGCTAAACAGTAATCAGATAAACTCAAAAGTGTTCTATCTTTTCAGCAAAACCCAAAATCACATATGTAGAAAACCAGACTGCCATGGAGCTGGAGGAGCAAGTGACTCTGACCTGTGAAGCCTCGGGAGACCCCATTCCCTCCATTACCTGGAGAACTGCCACCCGGAACATCAGCAGTGAAGAAAAGGTACAACTTCGCCCAAGAGTTTCTGGGCTGTGGAATGCAGGCTCCAAGCACGATCAATCTGCCCCATCCCAGTTCTCTGTGAGCCAGAAGGGAGGATGTGGTCAGCGGGGGCTGCGGCCGGGTCCTGCAGCCTCTCTCCCTCAGCCTGGCCGAATGTGACCTGCTCAAGAGCAGGCACAATTCCTGTGTAAATTGGCAGTAGTGGGCACGGTAAGATGTTCTGGGACGGAGGTGATAGTGATTTCTCACCCGGGGTTGTAATGCTGAGAGGAACAAGAAGAGAGACCCGGGGCAGGAAGAGATGCTATCATGGCCTCAGGAGCACTCGGGGAAATGTCTTCCAGAAACAGCGGAGATCCAAACGAGCCTAGGAATTCTTTTCCTCACCTTTCCTATACTCATGCTGTGTTTGCACTATAAGCACAAAAGCTTGGTTGCCTTTGTGTCTGCCTGTATTTCTGATCCCATTTGAATTTCATTTTGTTCTAAAGGCAAAAATAATTAGCAGTTTCTAAATGATGATGGTGACACCTGGGTTTTGCAGTGTGTTCATGGAGGGTCTCAGAATATTGTAGTAACCTTACAGACAAATTAAAGTGACTGGAAAGATTTATCTTTAAAGCATGTAGATTTGTAGGCCACCAGAAAGCTGTCGTTATTGCTGACAGGGCATAAAAATTGAGCTAACCACCTCCCCCATCATGCGGTCCTTTGTACTAAGACAGCCAAAAACAAGAAAAGTAAAAATGTTTTGTTTTAAAACAACTTTAAACCCTCTCATGGCACTTCTCCAATCTCATCTCGTATATCCTATGTAATGGGTTTCATTTAGTTAGCCAAAGTGTTGTTACCTATTCTTGAGTAATGGCCTTAGCTTTAAAGAACATTTATAATGGATTGCTTATTGACCAAAATGTCAGAAATAATAGAACTTCACTCTTCTGCCTGCTTAAAGGAAATCCCTAGAAAGGATAATAAACTCAATAAAGCCAAAAAAGGACAGTGTGAAATAATACCAGAGCTAAATTTGGAATTTGAATTTGAGGAATGGATTTGTTTTCCACTAATAGAAAACAAAGCTAAATCAAAAGGAACACACACTGCTGGTCCAGATAACTTTTTTTTTTGCAAATTTTACACTCAGATTTGAATTGCGCTTCACAAAATCTCTAATTGAGGAACTGCTAAATATTTTTGAAACACATATGCTGTTTGATATGCAAAAATCGGCTAGATTAATAAATGTGTTTATTTGGATACTTTCTTTATCAACATGGAAAATAAGCCCTCAGCTAAGACTTCACTCCCATTGTGTTATGTGGATTGGATGTACATTTCAGGGCTTAATCCTCTGGCCACTGCTTAGCAGGTCGGTCTACATTAGTCTTGAAAGTAGCTTTGTTCGGAGTGACCCAGTGTATATCTCTGACCTACAGTGAAGGACAGAAATATCTATCTCAGATGAGTGCTGCTTTTAAATTTTCTTTTCTAGGAATAGCTTAACAGCCAAACTAGACCAGACAGATTATTAAGATTTGTGCTTGCTTCAGATTCTTTAATAGGCTGATATTTCTGGCCTGTACCTATGATTTCATTTTCTAGAATGAGAATAAATAGCCAGAAAGTAATATATACTCATACTTGGTAAATAAAGAGACTAAAGGTGTCCAAAAAGGCCATCTTACAGCTAGAAGGGACTGATTTTTCATATAATTCAGTTTTCAGTGTACATCATCTGTTTTAAACTGAGATAATTATTCAAGCCCAGTTGGGTTATACTGTGGTTTCTTTGGCTGTGGACTATGTTCAGATCTATTTGAAACAACATTATTGGAACATGAGTCAGTAAATGCTAGAACAAGTCCTCCAGATCAGCTCGAGATTCACATAATTTGCTTAAATGAAAGCTATATAACAAAATTTGCCATTTCTATTAAGCATTGACATCTGAGAAGCATGTAGATAGCTAATAATCAAGAAAACAAATATGGGTTATCCATGAGCAGTTTGGATTCCAGAAAATGAACTTCACTTTTATTTTGGCAAACTCTCCTCATGTTCTCTTCCCAATAAAATTGTATTCTACACAATTAAAGTTTGAGATTGCTAGCATCGTTAATTGCAGGAGTAGAAGAAAACAATTCATTTCTAAACTTAGGATGATATGCTAACCAGGTTGCATCTAATTAGTTAAGAAACCTCCTGAGGTTTAGTCACGTGAAGTACCAGAATCGTAGAAGGTTGGGAGACACCTATTAAGCTATCTAGTCTCACCTGGCTCCTTTTGCTAGTGTCCCTGCTGAAAAGTCACTTGATCCCTCTCCGAAGTATGATGGTCGCTCTGTCCCTCTGAGGGAGAGCTTGCAAATATGGTGATCAGGAATTCTGCTACTCAGTCCTTTACCTGAGGGTCACTCAAGTAGCTCTTCTGTTTTCTTTTAGTCATTTTACCCTTTTGCATTTAACATGCCCAGCCGTTGCCCCTGTTTCTCATGTCGTGGTTTCCACATCCTTTATCCTTGGTTCTCTAAAACAGTGCCCTGCCCAGTGTACTTCACACAGACTTCAGAAAGTCCGCTAACTTCTTGAGATCTAACCATCATGCACTTAAAGTTGCATGAGCCCTTGAACAGTGTCCTCATTCTGCTGCTTCGTATTGAGCTTGTGGTCAGCTAAAATGCACAGGTCTTTTTCACATGAACTGCCTTTAGGCCACATATCCTCTATCTTCTCCCCACACAATTGATTGCTTTAACCGACAATACAGAATTTATAGTAATTTCTGTTAAAAATTGTATCGTTTGTTGTAGCCCAGTAATTCCTCAACAGGGTCACTATGGCAATTTGGGAAGTATCTTCCTTCACTGGGTTTGTCTTATGCATTGCAGAATGTTTAGCTAGCCTTTTCCTTGAATCCAAATTCACCTCTCATTGCTACAAAAAGTGGAACACTCCCAGCTTGAGGACAACTGTTTTAACCCTCTGTCCAACCCATAAGGTTGACTTCATTAAAAGTGTCCTTAGGAGTTTGCAGCTCAGGACATTTCAGTCCTTGTGGGCTACACCCCACAAGCAATTCACTAGTCTTCCCAATGCAACTGTAATCTAACATTTGTGTTAGCTATTGTTCCCAACCTTGTTGAAAACTCACCTGAAACCTCTTTGCTGGGTTGGTAGCTCAGAAGGTAAAGCACCAATACCACTACGCCATGGAGCTCCTGATAATTCTGAGGACTTAAATGGAAAGTGTAATGATCCCTCTAATAAAATTAGTTATAAAATCAGGGAATTAAAGTAGTTTTGTCTTCTGGGTTATTTGAAGTCTGATACTCTTAATACTACCTTTCTTATGGGAGAGGGAGGAGAGGCTTTTACCCATAGACATACAGAGACTTTCTAATGGAATATCAATGTTCTTCATTTTGAAAAAGAAAGAAAGGGAAAAAACAAAACCAGTACAGTGAGTACGACATCATCCCTGTCCTTGATCATGTCTCTGGGTTGATTCTAGTTACCAGCTTGACAATAGTCATTATCAGTCTGTTAACTTGCTACTTGAGTTAGTTCTGCAGTTGGTAAAAAGCTAAGTCTAATTGTTTGGATCAGTGAGATTATTAAGGTAGATCAGTTTTCTAAAAGTGGGGCTATTTCTTAGTGGTTCCTGTTACCTTCACAAAAAAATCTTGAGCATCACAACGGGTCGATTTGATCATGTGTGTGAGTCTTGTGATATTCCAGAAAATTGTGCATCTGTATCATCTCATGGCTCATCCTACACAGATTCATTTTGAATATTGCCAGGTGTTGGGGTAAGTGTTGCTGAATTCCAGGCATCCTTTACATACTGAATGAAACCCAGGAATTATTTGCATACTCAATCCCTGGCAGAAAAAAATAATCAAGCATTTGCTTATTTGAACACTTCTGGGTCTTTGAGATGACTCTGAACAAAGACACATAAAGCCTTCGTGATTAAGAGAAAAGAGAGCAGAAGGGAGTGGAGCTCAGAAGACATAATAGATAGGAGAGAAGAAAAATATCTTGCAAGTCTTGAATTGTTGGCTGACAGAGTATCCCACAAATAAGACAGCCCTTTTGAAATTCTGAATTTTTTGGAAAATGGAGCTTTCTTGTCACCAGGAAGAATTCCTCATTCAGGACAAGTCCATGGTCTAGTTAAAAAACACTGGAAAAGGTGGCTGCAGTGAGCTGTCAGAACCTAGTTTATCTAGGGCCAATGTATCATGGGGAATGCTCAGGCTAAGTATAGTGATACCTTGCTTTAGTCTATGTACATATGCTTGGAGACTTGCATGTAAAACAATAAAATGTGAATATTAAAACAACCTGGAACTAACACTTTTAGAGCACACAATTAATACCCTAATTTATTTTGTAAGCATGCATATTTTTCCATCAGGTTGCCTTAACCATCAATTACTTATTCTCAAAGCTTTAGAATCACAGTTACTCAAGAAAGACAGAAGAATTAGATTTGAAAGCTAAAAAATTCCATGAGACATTCCCTTAAAAAATCTTGATTCACGTAGCCCTGGCATGTGACAAACAACCTTTTCAGTGCTGTGGAATTGGCAACTACATTTGACATGCTGGCCTGGCTCATTGTTACTTTGGTCTCTGCATGTTCCTCTGTTCTCATGTGTTTCTTTGTTCCAACTTCATGTGCCATAATCCAGCCTTTCCACGCTCATTCCTCCCCAAGGCTTCCTGCATTCATGGACTCAGTTTTTACTAACTGTTTGCTAACTTATGTGCATTCCCTGGATTACATTGCAGTGTTTCGGAATCTGTTCTACCCTTTCACATCTGAACATCAGGGACAACCAGGCGATCATGCCACCTAATGAAAAAATGTAATGTGACTAAGATGTATTTGATCCCCTCTGAAAACAGAGAAACTGTAAGCAGAGCAGATGCTCGAGTGGCCGCTAAATAAAAACACCTAGATGTGGGTGGGAAATTGCCCAGATCTCTAGTCCATGAGTTGTCTTTCTCCCTTGGAAATGCCATGTCAGAGGGACATGGTTCATGCTTGAGCCCACATGCCATCCGGGCAGCCTCTGCCTGTATGGACTGGAACCCTACCACACCATTTGATACCTCAAAGCTTCCTGATTCATAGTCTCAAAGACTTCATACTTCTCATGTTGAATATACCTCTCTGCTCCTTGCTTTGTTCCTTTTTATTTTTAAGGACGTTTTTACTTTAATAGAATGCATGTAAAGCATTATAAAATGCATGAGCATAAAATGGCATTAGTATATCTGTGATAAGCTATCTAATAAAATCCAGAGGAAGAGATCTCTCCAAGTACCTTTTGATTATGTGGACAAAGCTACTAGTGTGTCACAAAATGATACAAGGAATATTTAAAATGTTTTGCAACAAGAGCAATCCAGTGTGTCTGCTGGTATTTGTAGATGTGTCTGCCAAATATTAGGAGTGGATTTACCTTTGAATTACACATTTTAATGTGCATAAGGGGGGAGAAGCTGAACATACGCTAAATCCTATGTTAATTTGGGTAATAAACACACCATTGAAAGTGGGCCTTAGAAAAAGTTCTAAATTAAAAAGATGCTGCATGTGCACGGAATGCAGTGTGATTCTCTAAAGCAACATGTTGTAAAATTTTACTGCTTTCTTGTTGTGTTTTATATCTTGTTCTCTCCAGGCTTCGTGGACTCGACCAGAGAAGCAAGAGGTATAGCTTACCTGACCACTAGCCAGTCTTTAGTTTTGAAAGCATTACGGTTTAACTCACCATTGCAGTGTAATAACCAGACATGCTAAACTAATTAGTGTCTTAGTTAGATTAAAGAATAGGTCAGTAGTGGTAGACATTTCTTTAGCCATAGTGTCATTTTAGGATGAGCAAACAAGCTGTGTTGGGAGTGGATGAACAAATCCTTATTCTTTTCTAAAACTGGATCTTGTTCTCTTGCTGATGCTGGTAAAATCACATTCGGGTAATTATATTGATAGAAATAAGTTGCCCCGATTCCCAGTCCAAGCATTTGAAATGATTTTTTTTTTTAACTCTCCTATGGTAGATGTGGCTTTGGATCATAAAGTCACAGAGTTGGTGATCTAAAACCCACTCAGCCCTTTCCTTTCCAGCTCAACTCATCTTGTTGCTCACGTATTTCATAATGATTGGTCTTGGTAAATTATCACATCACGTTTCATCTCAAAAGCCACACAAGTGACATCTTTCACTGATTTTCTCAAATTGCTAAGCATACTTTTATAGTGCATTAAATATATGAGATCGGAATGATTTGGTACTAAATGAGTTTATGTTTTGTAAAGTCAGTGGCATTCAACCTTTGAAATTTTTCTGCCTACTTGCTTCAGTTCAGGTAGCGTGGGACTTAATTTGAAAACTGGAGCTAAACATTGACCTTTAGATTTTAACTGCTGCACTCCAAGACCCTATGCATGGTTGTGCCTATCACTTTTTACCTGATTCATGTGATAAAGCGAAAAATAATAAAATCTATGTTAGATGGAGTTGAAGGATCTAATATATAAGTATTTTTTGCTGAGTAGCCTTTGTCTCTTCCTCCAAATAAAACTCTGCTGCTATAAAACTATAAACATAGAAGATGCTGTAGATTCTGTATTTTAATTCTGCACATCTATTATTTTAGTGTTTTGGAAGTGATTAGTAGTTTCTGCACAAGGACATGCTGCCCCCTGCCCTCATCAAGCCTGGTTCATTATGAGTTCTTTATAGCATTTCTTTTCAGTGTATTAGGGAAATACAGGTAACTGTGTGCCCTCACTGAAATGTCTCCCAACTGTAGCCGAGGAACTCCCTCCTAGTGCTGTCACAGGTTAGATGCTTAATGCCCCCATTCTCCATAGCCATCGGGACTGGGGAAGAGAGAGGAGAAAGGTTAATTACCAGCCAGGCTTTCACAGCACGGATCTCATTCTGTTCTGCCTTGTACATTTTTACCCTGTCGTTCTGGCCTAGACCTGGTTAGAGAAGGAGCAGAGATTTATCAAGGAGCATTAAGGAGATGTTAAGAGAATTATTATTATGGTGGAAATAATAGGTTTACTCCCAGGAAAGCAGACACATCACTCCATTTTCCTGAAGTGTCTTTATCTTGAATGCTGCACTTTGGACATAATTGACTTTCAAGTGAATGCAGCCCATGGGGCTCAGAAGTTCCATTCTCTCCCATTTGTCTCATTCGGAGATGAAAATCCTAAATCTGGATAAGCGCAAAAGACTTGGGCTATGGCAAGTTTCATTATGTAAGCTTCCCAGGCCTTAGCATGTCTACCTGGAAGAGGGAAACGAAAATGTTTTGGTGAGAACAGTAATGGTCATTGCCCTTCATGTTTTTGATTAAAAAAAAATCTTCTAGTCATAACAGTGTTTTTCCTGTGCCCAGAGCTCATCTGCTCCCTGTAGGGGAAGCTGATGGTCAGCATAACATCTACTCCTGTGGGCAGTACTCCCAGACCTTGTCTCCAAGCCTTAGTGTAGGGCACTTTAAGAGAAGAGAGTCCAGTTGCAGTGGAGTTTGCTTGTGTATCCTCCAAGGAAAACTTAGCATCTGCTAAATAATCCCATCATCAAACCGGCAGTGAGCCACTGCAAAAAAAGAATTCTCTTTAGAGGACTCTCTGATCTGTTGACATCATTAAGTGGGAAACTTAGGGAAAGAGGTCGGGTAGAAAATCAAAGTATGACTGTCCCTGACGCCTTGTTCTTCTAGCATTTTCTTAATTATGCTGAGTAAAACCTGCCCCTCCCCAGCCTTGTTATTAATGTCCACTGTTAACCTACGTGACTTGATTTGCTTCTCTTCTTTATGGAAATGTTCTCCTGGCTTCCCAGGGATTATGATAAATGGCAGCCCCAGGGCAAATAAGTATAGATCACAAATACTAGCGTTTCTGGTAGTTGGCATCCCTTACGATCAGAAAGGCCAGAGTGGACTTCGCATTCCCTCTGCCTTCAGTCCTGCTGTGTTTTGGGCAAATAGCAGTGTCAAGCAGATCAGGCCACCCCTTCAGAGACCTGCAGGAATGGCTTCATACCTTGATGGCCCTAATGCAGACTGATGAGTAAAGATTTGTACTTGACATATGAAAATAGCCACTAAAATGGACAGCCCAGCACTGTCAGCTACAAGAAAAAGAGTCCCAGAATAAAGTGTTTCCAACAAATTGGATGTCTCAGTCTTGGGGAGTGCCCCACACCTCTCTGCTGACATCTTTCATCAGTGCATGCTGTCCTAGGATGCAGGTTCTTGGGTAGCCAGCCTCCCAGAAGTGCAGGTCAATAGAAACACCAGGGCCTTCCTCTCAGAGAGGAGATGTGTTCACTGTAGCAGGCAGTGTTGATTTTTTGCAGTCCTTCCTCTAATGAGAAGGGTGATGGTGAAAGGGGATTGTTGTGATAGTTCTGTTGAGAGGGCTTCAAAAGGCCAGTGATCCCTTATGTTTGAATCTTCCAAACTCACTGTTGGCTTCAGGCATCCAGAGCAGCGTATCCAAAGGACATGAGCCCAAGAGTTCTTTCACTCTCTAAAGACTGAGACCATGTGGGATGGCAGATGCAGTGATTCTCAACATCATATATTGGAGAAGAGAGTAGCCCAGCCTACAAGGAACACGACCCCTTTTCTAGCTTCCAACTTTCTCAGGGCTCTGGACTTGGGCCACGTGGATAGACTTTCCTGGTTCTGGCTGCTATTTTTCTTAAATATCAAGAGGAAAATATGTTAGTATCCATTTCATAAGGGTCATACGCTCATTCTCTTTTTGATCAATCATGGTAATTCCAGTGACTTTGGAGGCCAAAGCAAATATCAGTGACTGGGAAATGATGGAGACCATGGTGATAAGGATCCGTGATCCAGACCATTGTCACTGGAGAGGGGACCCTGATACCCTCACTTCTAGCTCACCAGCTCCTGATCTTAAGTTTTTTGTAGTAGAATTATTTCACTTGTAAACATTCAGGAAAGAGAAACATCTATAGAAAATGGTTTTTGTTTTGTTTTGTTTTGTTTTGGTGCAAAGTTTCTTACATCGTGCACGATCTTTCTCATGCATGTACCATGGAACTGGAAGGGAAAGACTGGAGAGAAAAGGCAGGAGTCCAAGTTCCCTAGGATCTTATGAGATAAGGATATTACTTCTAATAGCTCTGATGACTAAGGCTTTGCTTCCATTTTGTACATCCAGAAAAAATAGCCATGGGGTACCTAACTTGTCCTTGCTCCAAAGCAATTTTGGCACATAGTTCAGGCCATTTGACATAACCGAGTCCCAATTTCTATTTTGGCTACACCTAGTTCCCATGGTGCTCTCTGAGCCTGCCTTATTAGATCATACACGGAGTGAGACTTAGATGGCACAGAGAGGGACAGGATGTGAGACTGGGTTCAGACAAGCCGTGGCCAATCTTAGCTGCCCCCGCCCCGCTGTAGCTGCTGTGGCCCCCTGCCTTGCCTCAGGTTCTGAAACGCTCCTTTTTCTCCTGGCAGACTCTGGATGGGCACATGGTGGTGCGCAGCCATGCCCGAGTATCATCCCTGACCCTGAAAAGCATCCAGTACACAGATGCAGGAGAGTACCTCTGCACAGCCAGCAACACCATCGGCCAGGACTCGCAGTCCATGTACCTCGAAGTGCAATGTGAGGAAGGATTGGTGAAAGACCCAGGGGATGGGGGCATTACAGGATCAGAAGGAAAGGAAAATGGCAGCTGGGACATAAGCTGCACCGTCCCCTGACAGCTTGTAAGCCTGTGGTGCTCTGAGTCTTCCCAGGCAGCACTGGCGCACAGGAATACTGGGATGGCCTGACTCTTGCATTAACAGTTGGGGTACATCAGTCACTCCAGTGCCAGGAGACAGGACGTGGTGGCACTAAGACAGTAGTGGTCATCCTGATGGGTGTTGTTATTCATTACAGATGCCCCCAAGCTACAGGGCCCTGTGGCTGTCTATACTTGGGAAGGGAACCAGGTGAACATCACCTGCGAAGTATTTGCCTATCCAAGTGCTACAATCTCCTGGTTCCGAGATGGTCAGTTGCTACCAAGCTCCAACTACAGCAACATCAAGATCTACAACACCCACTCTGCCAGCTACCTGGAGGTGAGTAAAGGTGGAGAAGGCCATTTGGCAATTGGTCAGCTTTTGAATGCAGCTTACATCCTCTCTCCTGCTTCCCTGGCACATCCTGAACTGGGTAACCACTGGGCTGGAGAAGAAACAACCTCCCCCAGGTCACCTTGCTGGCCACACTGATGTTTCTCATGGCTACAGTGGGATGGGAGGTATAATGCGCCTATTTCAAGATCCCCTGGACTATTCTGTCTTGTTCAAGAGTGAGTTGAAGTTAACAGTTTGTGTTTCACTAGTTCTGTGCTTCGCTAATTTAATCAAGTTAATAAGGGTCTGAATCTGTGGCCATCTCATGGGACAGTTGTAATCCAAAAGCTCCTTCTTTCCAAAGGTGACCCCAGACTCTGAAAATGATTTTGGAAACTACAACTGTACTGCAGTGAACCGCATTGGGCAGGAGTCCTTGGAATTCATTCTTGTGCAGGCAGGTGGGTGCTCCTCAGGGTGATTTCTACGCCACCCCTACCCTTGTCAGCCCATCCTGCGTATTCTGGGCTACCGAGATAGTGGAAAGGAGAGCCAAGGATCAGAAAGAAGAGGGCCACTGGAGGTAGGAAAGTGTGGGGCACGTGGGGGAGAATCATGTGGTAAATGGCCAGGAGGACAGAATCCAGATGTTGGGATTCCTACAAACAGGTAGAAATGAGAGAGGTGTGCTTTGACACTGGAAACTGTGGTCTGAGCCAAACTGGGCTCACGTAGGCCTCCATATGTGTCCTCTCCACAGATACCCCATCTTCACCGTCCATCGACCAGGTGGAACCATACTCCAGCACCGCACAGGTGCAGTTTGACGAGCCGGAAGCCACTGGTGGTGTGCCCATCCTCAAGTATAAGGCGGAATGGAGAGCACTGGGTGAAGAAGTGTGGCATTCCAAGTGGTACGATGCCAAGGAAGGTGGGTCTGGAAGAGAGCATCATGGCCCGCAGGATGCTGAGCACATCAGTGTTCATTCACCCACTCCCGGTACTCATTAATCCTGGCCACCATCTGCGTAGGTGCCACACCACTGTTACCTAGCAGAGCATGCCAGGGGTCTCCAGCAGCCATCCCATCTGGATTCTGACAGCATTAGGAACTGTCTCTCTCCTCGGACAGCTGGCCTTCTGCACTCTAGAGATTCAGAACTTAGTTTTCAACTTTCCTGCGGGGAACGTGGAGGCCACCTCAGCCATGTTCCAGGCAGGAGCTCTGCTTGCTGCTGAGCATAGCCAGAACGAGGACAGGGAGCCCTGCTCTCCTAGGTCAGGTAACTGTCCCACGGTCTCTACTGACACCTGACCGTCCCTGCCTGGGTGTCTGTACCCAGGACTATCATCTAATTATGACAGTTACTAAACAAGCAGAGCCAGCAAGACAAGTCTGCTCTGAAATCAATCCTTAAATACCTCTGCAAGCTAAAAATTAAGAAAATGGCCTCTGCATGACTGCAGTTTCAAGACGTGAGCCCAGACCATTGGGAGGGTGGAATATATTTATATCTACACCTTTGGGGTTTCACAGGAATAATGTGGGGGATTACATGGAGTTTCTGTAGAAATTGCTAATCTTAGCTTGGCATGTGGGAACTGGGGTGCAATAGGGACAGAGCCATTCTGAAGCAGGGACCCACAGTTTACCTGATAGTCGCATCTGCTTCAGCCTGGAGATAAGCTGAGAGGAACTGCTGTGTAATCAGGGTTGGAGCAAAGAGGAAACAATCCTCTTGCTTTCCTAACTTACTTCTGAAATGCCACCTTTGCGGCAGATTGGTCCCAGGTTACAATCTGTGCTAAGCTTTATTGTTTCTTTTAAGATTAATTTTAGTTTGGAGACAGTTCATTTTTACTATGAATATATAGATTTATAGATATATATAGGCGATATGTATAAAACATATGCTTTACATTTCATGTAAGTGTTTTTGATTGTACAGGTCAGTAGCATTAATTCACAACTATTGCCATTATCCATGATCCTGAACTTCTCTGTTATCCTAAACTGAAACCTTTTAACTTTATTTTAAAGTGGATACAACAGAATAAAGCCAATCAAAACAAACCAGTGTAAGTGATACAGGACTTCAAAACATTACAAAATCAACAGTAGTTTCTATCATGCCTTTTGATGTCTTCAAAATAGCTGCAGATAACTTCAGACATAGTAAAACTCACAGAATAGAACGAAATAGAAACAATATAAACAAGACAATGAATGTGCAATAAAGGACTTCAAAATAAGCCAGTAGTAAATCCAAAATGGCTACCATAACATTTCTTGCTATCTTTAAATAGCTGCTCCTGCCATCAGATTTGACATAATCAACCAAAACAAAAGAGAATAAACCCAACCCAACAAAACAATGGAAATGATATAGGACTTCAAAAACAAGACCCCAGGGAATCAACAACGGCTACTGCCCTCAGAAGGAGGTCCCCCTAGATGCCACACTGCCTACCGCTGTCCTCTGAACCTGTGATCAGACCGCTGGTCCTAGACCTGCAGTGTCAGTGAAACAGCAGAGCCCCACAGGCGTCCAGCTGCATTCCTCCTCCGTAGCTACCGTCACGGCTGTGTTTCTCTGGATAAACGTGTCCTTTGCAGTGGGGCGGGGAGAAGGAAATGGGCACTTCTTGTTTGCCCGCCCTCACACTGGAAGGGACTGGAGTCTGGCGGTTCCCAGTCCGGCAGCGGCCCATGCATGGCATCCCACACTTGCTTTCTTTCTGGTGTGGCCTTCCCTCTCCCCGCAGTCTGCAAATGGCGCTGACTCCCAGGGAGAGGCTTGGTTCTGGCTCCTAAACTGAAACTCTACCCATTAAACACCAGCCCCTGGTTCCCTCACCTCCCCCTGCTTGTCCGTGTTACTTTCTGTGGCCACCATTTTACCTTCTGTCTCTAGGTCCTTGATTACTGTAAATACCTCACATGAGTGGAATCATATAATATTTGACCTTTTGTGTCTGGATATTTTGTTAACATAATGTCCTCAAGGTTTATCCACATGGTGTGTCCCTTTCTAAGGCTCAGTAGTATTCCATCGTTGTCTTTACCACATTGTCCTCTCCCATTCACCATCACTGGCCAGTTATTTAGGATGTTTCTACCTTTGAGCCACTGGGAATGTGGCTTCTGTGAACATGGGTAGGAATCTGCTTCAATCCCCTTTTCAATTCTGTGATTATGCCCCATGTATATTTCATGGATCAAACAGCATCTCTGTTTAATTCTGAGAGGACCTGCCAGACAGTTCTCTGTTGTACCATTTCCCCAGGAGGCTTCTGCATTTTTGTGATCCCTCTCGTGTTCTCCCAACAGCCAACATGGAGGGCATTGTCACCATCATGGGCCTGAAGCCCGAGACAACCTATGCGGTCCGACTGGCAGCCCTCAACGGCAAGGGGCTTGGCGAGATCAGCGCGGCTTCCGAGTTCAAGACGCAGCCAGTCCGTAAGTAAAGCCAGCTGCCCAGCCTTTCCATATACCCACTGTCTTCTCTTTGGGGACATCCAGGACTCTGACCTGGCCCTGCCTCTCCAGTGCCTCTGCTCACGCAGCCCCATCTCCTAGTTCTCTGGCTCTCGGGGATGGCTAAGACGCACTGCTTTCATTCTGTCTTGCTCAGAGGGGTTGGGGACACTGTCCTAGAAGCTGGTCTGGCCAGTTGGACTGTTGAGATGGGGGCCGTACGCACCACCAGAACAGTTTTGCCAGGGGTGGAGAGGAACCCCAAGGGTGGGGGGTTGGAGGCCCTGAGCATCTGTAACTTGAAGGAAAATCACAGACTGTGACAGTTCACATAATTTGTGGTGGAATTTTTGAGGCAGCAGAGATACTAAGTCATACAGAAACAGAGACCAATGTAGGATACATGAGCAGGAGCGAAATCTCAACCATGACAAACAAAACGGCCGGCTGTGGCCAGGGACATTTCCGCTCCTCATGTCCTCTCTACCTCAAATGCTCTTCTAACAGAGCTGCTTCTCCCAGATCCTTCCCAGGGCTGCATCTCTGTCTCCCTCCACCATTCTCTTCCCTCAAACCGTGCCTGTACGGCTTTGCCCTCGCTTCCCACAGCAGCCAGGCTCAGGGCGAGCTCCGCTCTGGCCTTCTCCCTCCACAGACCAGAGCTACTGCCCTGGGGCTCTGGAGTTTGTCCAGCTGGAGAAGACGCTGTAGCAGGGGACTCAGGAGTAGCCACAAGGCTCTCCGCGTGACCTCTGGCTCCTGGATTTAATGCACATGGGAGAAGCCTTTGCCCCCTTGTCTTGGGAGCCAGGACCCTGCAAAGGGACCCATTGCCTCTTCCCAAAAGTACAAAAGCCCATCTCATCTTCCTTCTACAGGGATTGCTTCTTTCTGGATTGGAAAGTAATTTAATAATTTGAGTTTCCAGCTCCAGCTCTGTGTATTCTGTTCATTTCTTTTACATCTTATTTTTTTTCCCTTGGGTCTGTCTCTTGGCTTTTCTTTGCGTCTGTGTTCCATCCATGGGAAATGCAGATAGCCCTCCTCCACGTAAGTGCCTCTTCATACCTCATTACCCGTTGCCATAGCATTAACATCTGCTAGTCCTAGTTCTTAATTTAGTTTTGGTCCCCTTTTTTGTCCCCTAGAGGCTGAAGTAGATGACACGGTCTGGGCTCTAACCACACTGACCTTAGTCTAGTTGTACCCTTGTTAACGTCTGTAGGTTACTTCAAGAGGCTAACACTCTGTTTTAGAGCATGCAACTTCTGTGTCTTTGGAAATTGTGTGTATTAATTTTGTGTGTGATGATTACCCTTGCCTGTGGCAAAGATAATGTTTACTGAGCCAAGCATGGTGAAAGTCTGCAGATGGTCCCTGAATAACAAGCCATGGCACCACCTCACCAGTAGCCAGTATGCCCAAAAGTGATCACAGCCTCAGCCAGCCGCTCTTCGGCATGCCTTCCAAGGGAAGTAGAATCCGTGTTTTCACATTCACTTTAGGAAATAAAAGAACGGTGCTCAACTGATTCCTTGCTTTTTTATCAGCTGGAAAGCTCAGAAGACTTGTCTGGGGACCCCTCCACACAGCCAGCTGCAGTTCTAATAGTGTGGCCTGAATTTTGTCCTGCAGGAAGCTGTTGTGGGGTCAGCTGTGTTTGTGACTATTAGGTCACTTACAGTGTGCATTTCTGGGTTTGGTTAGGTCTTTCCCAAACCCAGAAATGCACACTGTAAGTGACCTAATAATTCTACTGCCTAGGATGGCGGACGGGGTTCCCACGTGAAGGACAGCCAGATCATGTAAACTGTAGATGCAGCACACAGAGGCCCAGGGTGACAGTGTGCTGACTGCTGCAGGGTGTACACCTCTGCCTGACCCCTGGTCTGACCTCTTTGGCCTTTGTAGATGTCTCCAGGCTTCACTTTGCTGTGACTCAACGCTTTCTTCCCAGGCTGAGCTCAGCCAGGAGTGGTAGGAGGCACCACTCAGACAGACCAGGAGACAAGTTATTCGGGAAGCTTCACATTCTTTTCACAAAAACCTGTGGGCTCCTGAAAGACACTCAGGGAAACTTATTTTAAAATTTATTCACAAATATTGCAGCGGCAGCAAAACTAAGTAGCTAAATGTGGAGTTCTTACGCAAGTGCTTACTCCACACTCTCCGCTGAGTTGGTGTTTGAATGCACCGTCTTGGGAGGATGCCAGGGTGTGGAGTAGAGTTGTCAGGTAGAAGGAACAACTTTGGGCTGCTCTGGGCTGCCAGCTGTGCCTCCAGGGAGTTCCCGGGGAGCCCCTCCAGGTGGGAGAAGTCAAGTCCTTCTTCTTCCAAGATCCTCCCCCAGTCCCTAGCTCATCCTTCAGATGAGTCTCTGGGGTTCTTCTTTTCTGAATATGGCCAATAGATGAGGGCTAGTTTGTATACCAAAGACAGGGAGGCGGGGGAGAGGACTGCTATCGAGTTTCTCATGAGGGACTGAAGTTTTAGGATCGAATCAAGGTAACTAGGTCTTGGACTTCAACCAATGAAACATTGGTTTTCATTCATTGCCAGTCTAGGCCTGATAAAGATGAGATTTTCATGGTATTAGAGGTTGTGTTCTTAAAGTTGGTATTAAAAATTAAATGTTTAAAGCTTTTGTTTTAGGTTGCTTTTTAATTTCTTTTTTTTTTTAAAGAAGACCTCTCAACCTTGTCGTGTTGTCTGGTAGCATGAAAATGGCTCAGTGATCAAGATTCCACGAAGCCCTTTGGAGGGTGGTAGCATCACCCTCATTCCAGATAGATCTTGCATAATGTACCAGCAGTGGCATAGAAAGTCTGTTTTTGTCACAGCTATAATAAAGCTATACTTTAAAGAACAAGGAAACAAACTTCTGAATAGGTAGAACAGAGACATAGTTTTAGAATTTAGTGTTCCTGTGTTGAGAATTTAAGCAAAAAAAGTGGTATGCATATGAGAATATCATACTCCTAGAGTTTCTAACATGGGCCTGGCCCAGGGGACAGCCCGCAGCTCCCAGCTCTGTCCAAGCAAAGTGCACTATTGGGAGGGTAACACCAGCACTCACCACTGCTGTAACAAAACCCATTTTTTGGTACTAGGAAGTGAGGACAGGTTTTAGGAAGGACTTTAAATTTTCACCACTACTCCTCGGAAGGCACTAAGGTTGCCTAAGCTCAGGAAAACAAGATCATCCATCAGTTTAGCTGTGTGTTTTCTGCAAGTTTAAGAGCCAGTGGTATTGGTTTCCATCACTGGCTCACCTTGCCCGTTGACAGTTCACTCCTATCCTGCAGAATTTTTGCAGAACAGAACTGTGCTGCTCCTATGACAGCACAATCAGGCCCTGTGAGTACCCTCAGGATCAGGGAGGGGAAGGCATGGGAGGCATGGGGCCAGCAGGGAGTGGCATGCTGAGCAGAGGACTGGCTGCCGGACTCTTAGATTGGGAGGTGTCAGCTGAAGCTACTGATTTAGCCTTAGTATTGAGATGTCTCAATAAGGACGCTCCTTAAAAGACTTCTGCACATTCAGGGGCAGGGATACATCAAAGGCAGGATGAACAGGGGACTTTAATGAAAGCTGCAATGGCTGAACTATCCTGCTTCTATACTGCTAAATAGAAAGCATGGCTTACTTGCATGGAAATGCCTTTGTGTGTAGTTCATAGATGTGTATGATGGTCTTGAGGTCTCTGTAACTCTAGACAAACAAATAGAACTCTAGCCTGAGGAAGTGCCCTGCTTCATGTATTTTTAAGCCACATACCAGCATGGTATCAAGAGGCTCCCAACTTCTGTTTGCCTTGGGAGGAGCAGCTTCCCTGACAGAACAGCTTGCAGTATATCATGAACCCTTTTTCTCCATCATTGAGCCACAGTTTATATGTTTTCATTATCTGAGCATTACTTCCTGTTTTGCTTCTATGCCATGAGGCAAAATACGGTAGACCATTTCTTGCAAGGCATAGAGCATACATAGGAGTCTCTTAAAAAGTGTCGACTCTTAAAAAGTGTCTTGAGATTTTTGTTTTCATTTGTTGACCCCTAAGTGGCATATGCAAGTATGCATTGAATGTGTTAGAATATTGTGCTTTAACCACATAAAAGTCCATTCCTTTGCCATAGTAATATTAGCAATTGTGCAAATTATCCAAACCAAAAATTAAAAGAGAGAGGAAGAGAAATACACTTTCACTTGAATTAACTAGGCCATCCCATCATGATGAGTTAGAACCGATCCTCCTCTGATTTCAGGAACAGTGTACTCGATGTTTTGATTTATTTATTTTTTTCTTTTTTTTATCGTTACCTGGGATCTAACTCATGACCACGCGCTTGCAAGGCAGGCGCTTATGCCGCTGAGCTAAATCCCCAGCCCCTGTACTTGATGTTTTAATCAGATACCTTCACCCGGCAGGTGAAGGAGGGCCCAACCACAAGCACTAAAGCAACGCTGACAACATGTTGATGCTTTTCCAAATCTTTAGCTCCCAAAAAGGACTTTTGTCTTGTGGCTCTTAAAGGGACAACTTCTGGGTATTTGTCGAGGAGAAACTAAAAATCCTTCAGTGTTCCACGTGTTTTGGATTCACAGTTCTAATCCACCATGTAGAAAGCTGCTAAAAGAACTTGGTTAGCCTGTATCTTATCTGCCTTCCATTTTTCTGGGGATGCAGAGATAACATGGAACGTTATTGTCATTCACGGTGCCTTAGCGACATCCACATAGTCACTTTCGGGAGGAATTTTTCAGGAGGGCAGCAGTGTTTTTCGTATCACCTGTCTGACAAATGACCATGAGCCGCACCATGTCTATTTCCACTCCACTCACCTATTAAAATCGGAGAGTGAGACATAAAGCTTTGCAGACGTGCCACAGACACGTAAATGCGTGCCTGTGTGGAGACATGTCTGTGGTATGTGACATAATAAACCAAAGTCTTTTTACCCACTAAGAGTTCACCTTAAGCTGAGGTCTAGGTTCCCTTCCCTGCTGTCCTTCTGATCCTGTGCAGACAGCTGGGGCTGCTGAATTGGCTAGTTGTTTTCAGCTAGGGCTTGAGGCTTCTGCAGCTGCTTCTGGCCCAGACCCTCACCTGAACAGCAGGGCTTGGCAGCCGCTCGCCCTCCTGGTTTGAAGTTCGAGAGCTCTGCCGTCAGCTGGTGTGCTGGTCTGCCGGCCACCTGTTCCATGCACGGTGTTTCTCCTCCCGAATTAACACTCCACGCTCCTCAGCTGACACCCCAAGATGGCCACTTCCGTTTTCACCCGGTCTCTGTGTGCTCCGGGACCTGGTCCCTCTCCCTTCTTTGTTTCACCTTATTTTTCTTTCTTAGCAGCTCCTGCTAGCTCTTCTACCCTTGTTCCATTGTCTTCACCAGCTAGTGAGTATCATTTTCTTCATCCGTCTCTCTGCAGGTTGCTTTCCACCAGCCGATTTATCTGCCTAATGTCATCTCCTTTACCAGATGATAGTTCAGCTTAGAGGGTGAAGAACCACACCGGGTTTTAGAGAATCAAATAAAAAGAGACGTAGCTTCAGGGTCTCTCAGCTTCAGGGGAGGCAAGAGAAGAGCACTGCTCTGGATAAGAAACCTGCAGACAGATTCCCTGAAGCTGCCACAGCTGGCCCTGTCCTCAGGATTCCCAGTGGGCTGGACCAAAGCTGATATTTGGAAAAGCCAAAGGAATTTACTAAGAAAAATGTCTGCTCTACAGGGTTATACAAAATCCTTTGAGGTGTTTTGTTCTTATCCTTTATTTTAATTGGCACAGTTAGACTCCAGCAGTGAAATCAGAGAGTAAGACCTATAACTCTCACTTTATCCGTAAATGCATACATTTCTTATAAATATTTATAAGAAATGCATACATTTCTTATAAATAAATATGGGAAAATAAACAGTGTCTGCTTGCAGATGTGCCTGGCGGTAGACACTCAGGGAAATTATTTAACCCTTTGCAATGCCTGTTTTCTTTTCTCTAAAATTGAATGAGCATTGCACCCACTTCCCTTAGAAAACAGCAAATATTCCAGC